TATGTCCACCATCGGCATTGAGAACAGCAGTGCATCGACGACGCATAGAGCCTATCAAACGTGCAATGAAGGCTTGTGGGATGTCACGCCAGATTCTCTCATGTTCTGTTGCAAGGTCAAGGACGTTATCTGACGGATGAGGAAGACGGCGTAGACGTCGATCCATCTCGTCCCAAACATGCTCTATCGGAGAGAGATCCGGTGAATTTGCAGGCCAAGGCAACGTTGTGGTGTTGCAAGAAATCCATAGCAACCCTTGCCGTATGAGGGCGGGCATTGTCCTGTTGGAATGTTAACCCAGGGCCATGACGTTGCAGAAAAGGAATTGCCACAGGTCGAAGAATCCGATCCCTGTAGCCCACACCAGTTAAGTTGCCCTGAACAATCACCAAAGGAGTTCTTTGGCGTGCTGTTATTTCTCCCCAAATCATCACGGAACCACCACAAAAGCGATTCCTCTCCAAGACACAGGCCTGTGCATAACGTTCTCCCACGCGTCTATAGGCACGTTGACGTCCATCACTGTGGGAAATGTTAAACCTGGATTCATCTGTGAAAAAAACATTTCTCCACCAAAACAAGGGTCTGCGGACATGATTTCGGCACCACATTCAGCGAGCTTGTCGATGACGTTGTGTCAGGATAGGCAGTATGGCGGGACGTCGTGGTCTGATCCCGTGATTACGTAAACGTTGTCGAACTGTGTTGGGGTGGATACGGCGAAGTCCTGGGATGGCTCGGGCAGTCATCACTGCAGTCTGAAACCTGTGGCGCAGATGGGTCACCCTTATCAATCTGTCCTGTCTTGGCGTTGTTACACGTGGACGTCCAGAACGTGGCCGATCGATGACGTCATTTAAGGTTCTGGTAGCGTCCTACCAGTGCAGAAATGGTGTTCCGGTGGCAGTGGAAATGTGCAGCCACTTGTCGTTGAGACATTCCCCCACGGACCATCCCAATGGCCTCATGACGTTGTGCAGACGTGAGCCTTGGCATGCTATGCGTTTCAATAGCCGTTCAATTTTTTGAACGATCGCAAGGGCAGGGGTTGAGCTTTCCAAAGTGACAGTATTGTGTGGCATTCATTTGCTCTGTTTCTCTTTCCCGGAATGCACGTGCAACAACGTATTGCACGTCTCAAGGACGAACCAATTGACGTCACGGAACGTGGCACGTACATGCATGTTGGATACATGTCACTAATCTCTGAGTTTAAATCCTTATTTGTCTACACAGGTTTGATAAATTTAGATTTAACATTTTTGTATGCACAGTTTCTTTATGTGCCTAGTATGTAAACAATACATCATCTTTTCCGAATATTCCATGGTCCCCATGGTCCCTAGTATGGTGATCTACCTTCAGTTGTTGGCGATCTATAGCCTATTTTTATATTGTATTGTCCCCTATAGTTAAAATGGTTTAGATATAATTACTAGTTTTACATGTATATCTGTGATATTCTAGTTGTTTTACTGTCCTTCGTCGGCAGGTTTTTATAATATATATATTCCATTTCAATGTCACATGTTCTCGTCACGATATGGCTGAAATATTGCCGATGTGACGTTAAATATTAACTCACTCACTCACTTAATTCAAATTGCATAGATAATCTTGTTCCCCCATAAAAGTTTCACTTCGTGTATGAGCATTGAACTGGCAACATGCGACTTGATATCTCTGCAGAACAATTAATTTCAACTTTATACCAGTATTTCATACTGGAGAAACAAAGGGGGGACCTCTCGTCAGCTATGACAGGGTTTACTATAGTACGTGTAAAGCCCTTAATTTGACATGTAGTCAGGTCAAAAGCAAAACCAGGTAGGAAACACAAACTGGATAGCTTTGATAAGGGTGGCATACGCCGTACAGTTTATAAATTGTATGAACGCAAAATCCCACCGACGTGTGCTAAAATACAAGATTAGATCAAAGATACAATAAATGTCTCGAAAACAACACTTATAGTAGCTCTGGTAGAAATGGGGTTCAGGTACACCAAAAGGGGAGATGACAGAGCTGTGTTTAGAGAAAAGTACTCAATCTTGTCCATGCGATTAGCTTATCTCAGAACAATTGAAGAATACCGCAATTTGGGGTTTCAAATGATATACCTTGATGAAACCTGGTGTAATAAAAATCACTCAACCGATCGAATGTGGCTTCCTTCAGATTATTCTACTGCACAAGTGTTACCATCAGGCAAAGGTGGATGCCTGATCATCTTGCATGCTTGTACCCGTAGCAAGGGACTGATTGGGGGTTGTGACTTCGTTTTTGAGGCTAAGAAATCTAATGGTGATTACCATAGCGAGATGAATGGGCGGGTATTTTTGGATTGGTTCGAACATAAGCTTTTACCACAGCTGGACGAACCAAAGCGTTATCAACTTGGATAACCATAATTACCATAACCTGCGTGCCCCTGGTACCATCACACCCACCATGACCAATCTCAAGTCTCAGTTGCAGGATTTTCTCACTTCCTGTAACATGCCTTACAGGCAATCAGAAACAAAGCTCCAGCTCATCCGGCAGCACAAAAAGCCAATCCAGTACATCACTGACGAACTAGCTGCAAAACAAGGCCACATAGTTCTGCGTACACCAGTACGGCACTGTGCGCTCAATCCCGTCGAGCTGATCTGGGGTAACTGTAAGAATTGTATTGCTCGCAATAATACCACATTCACGCTTTCAGACATTATAGAGCTTGTGTATGCTTCTTTTGCGAGAATTACCCCAGAAGTGTGGCAAAAGGCAGAAGACCATGTTCTCAAAATCGAGGACGAATACCGTCTGCGGGTTGCACCTGTTGTAATTCCGTCGACCAGCAGTGATACTGACACTTGATATTTTGAGGCGGTCCCTAACATGCACTGCCCGTGCGTTACATAACGCTGTCACACTGTCTGCCTGCCAGGTGGGTCACAGTATAGTTTGTTTACTTGAAGTGTTTCTACCATGAAGTATATTTCTAGGTTTTTCGATATTTTACGAGTAATCGTTATGATTAGGGAATGGTACATAATGATTACTCATATGCCATATCAGGTCGAGGTGGTATGGATGATTATGTATGAGTTTTGAAACTGAAATAGCAGTCATTATCAAATAATTGCCAAAAAACATTTTCCAATCATTTCTGGCCTTACTTTAGTTTTTCTTAATTAAGTACACGAGTAGTAATGAATGTATTTCATTAGACTGTAACTTGTGAAGTAAATACCTTAGAATCAGTAATTTTCCGAGAATGCCAAGCAAAACGAAAGTCAAGCATGATATCCTTGATATTTTAGACCCATTCTCTCCTACTTTACTAATGAGATAACACTGGTGACATATCCTGCATGAATCCTCATGGATTAATACGCACAATATTGACAATTGATATGTACATTGCAACGGTAAGAGCGCAGCAGACTCACAACGAGAGCTAATGTTATTTACCCTTTTACTAACTCTTAAGTAACATTCACATATTTTGGTTTGGAAATTTCTAATTTCTTTACAGTAACATGTTCCCCACACTTCTGAATGGGACGAATGACTGCTTCAAAGAAGCTAAACGACATCAGAAAATGAAATACCACCAAAGTGTAATGGAGTTGGGGGCTGGCTCCAAAACAGTCTGTAGGTGCACGTAATGTCTAAATACCCAGCAAATGGTACTCCGTGGACTGTTTACCTTCAAAGTATCAGTGTTTATACCTTCTTGAAAGTGACATTAATACCCTTTTTCATCATTAAACAAATGGTGGAAAAGCTATAAATGTTACTTTCACTGTGGATAATATACATGGTCTGTTTTTTGTGGATGAATGTTTCGAAACAAACAGTCAAACTTCAAGAAGCATATGAATGATGATGTAAAAAGTCGCCGACCAAAAGCACAAGTTTGACGTGCGCCCAGATTATACATAAACGGTGTAGAAAGCTTAGAATACACTTACACAATTGTAAAAGTTGCTAATTACATCGATTTCTTTCAAATAAAACTAGATGATTTACTGAAAATTAGTAAACACACAATACAATCTACGTTTATTCTTATGTACATATTACTTTTTGATAGCATATAAGGAGAAAATACAGTTTATTGCAGTGTTAAATCCAGCTTGAATTTTAGAAATGAAGCTATTGTTACGACACTATTTCTGATGGCACCACGTTAAAATGGATGTAACCACTTTGCAGAGAGAATCAACCATGGGTATACAATTGTAGTTATTCGGAGTATTTGTTTATCTTAAACCTTTTTTTTAAGAACTTTATTCATTATATTTGTAAATTTGTAATAGTCTGAGGGACAAGGGGTTTTTTTACTTGAAAACTAAATTCATGCAATCCTATGTTTCTCTGTAGATGTATGTGACACCTTAGTTTTTGGAAGCTTTTACACATTCCTGTTCTGTCATGAAAGTTGTGCAGTGTTTTACTTAACCAAAATCTCTACATTCACAAAATCTTTCGATTTGCGGAATGTTCCCTGGCCTGCTCGAGTGCGATTTACCTGTGTTGATATGACTTTCCGAATAACTACTTTAGTCTTTGTAATTCTTATGTAAATGTGAATGAATAGTAGAATATTCTGGTCTATCCATAATATTGTTCTGAAAAGGATATTGTACAAATGAGTAATAGAATACAAAACACATGCATTCATGTGTTTTATTTTAAAAAATGCTTGCAACATGTAAACATATTTGTTACGTGTTGGTATCAAGGCTTCCCCCTTCCACCCAACTATACACTGATCCATTCGAATATTGCAGCAATATAGCCCAGCCGATCACACAATACTTGTGTGTCAATATGCAAAACGTCAGCAACGAAAATAGTCAGCATAAACCTCAGATAACGAAGTGTATGACTTGACCAATTTTTTTTTATCATGTGAGTACAAGTACATGTTATCGAGACGAACTTGTGCAAAGAGAGGTTGTTATGATGTTTCGAAGCGCCATGTAACAATGGAAATTCTTCTGAATCAGAAACTCGAGCTACTCGTGAACCAGCCTTCCCGACAGCAGTTCCAACAACGTCAGTCACAGCTATTACAACAACGACAGCAAAACCGACAGTAACACCTGCCAAAAATGGAACAGGTACGTACACAGAAACTGAGACGAGAGATAAATGTATGCACATAATCTGTGAATAACCTCTCTATTCACCAACTGGTTATGTGAGAGTGGTGAGCTTTATAATGCGTGCTGTAGAACAACGCGGACCTACAGGACCATGATCATGTGCAAATTTCATACACATTCTTTAACATGCCTTGTTTATACTAGCATACACATGGGGATACAAGTTTGATGCACACTTATGAAAAACTGACACTTGTACGTGAACAAGTGTTGAAAGAATTTACAATTCTGGTCGTCACTATGAATCATCCGACGGTTATGAAAATGACGATATTTCGAGAGAAGAACTGAATGTATATGAAGTGGATGAAGAAGATATGCAATATTTTTAAAAACGTCCATCACAATAACAGGTGAGTGACATAATCACATATTTAAGTTATTTTTTATTATTATTAGTTGTAATACTACAAAACTAATAATATATAGTTTGAATTCATACACATGCATATAAACACAAAATGCTTGAACTGTAAACACAGCACGTTTGCTCTACCGACATGTGTAGTATAACATAGTATAATCTTGCCCTGAATCTACAGTGAGTGTGTGAGTGAGAGAGAGTTTAGTTTTACGCCGCTTTGTTGGGAATCGAACCCGGGTCTTCGGTGTGACTAGCGGACGCTGTAACCACTAGGCTACCCCACCGCCCCCAAAATTATTACAGTTAAAACAAACGAAAAAGTATTACCTTAAAATAGGTCATAGTACAACTCTACTTTATAACACTGTACGTGGTGAAACAGTTAAAATACTATTTATAAGATGGCACATGTAACACTAACATGTTGACTGAAGGCAGGGTTTTAAATCAAATCTGATGTCACGCGTGACGTAATCAGTGTGCGAAATAGTTTTCAGATTTTGCTAGCCAGTCGGGCTAGCTATGCCTGAAAGTTACTATCCCGCAAAATAATTCACTAGCCCGAAATTTGAATGACACGGGTTTCATCATTAAGCTACTAATATGATGAACATGTTTATCAGGCCATAACCTTGCATGAGTTAAAAGTGTATTATAACTTATCAAGTCGGAGAAAGTGATATATGTACAAAATGTCCCCCATGAAAATTCACCAGCCAGTCGGGTCAGTGACTGCGGACATTCACTGGCCCGATTGGATTTTTACTAGCCATGGGCTAGCGAGACAGTGGCTGTTTCGCCCACTGGACGTAATCCTCGAACATGGCCAACTGACGTTCTCTTCCATCTAACTGCTTGCAGCCACACACTGAGAGACTTATTCACGTTTTAAACATCGAACAAAACCACAAATGGTTAGTTTAGTATTCACTTTTCGATATTATAATATACCCGAAGATCTTTTGAGTGAAGGTGTTTCTTGTGTACTAAATTGCTTGAAATGGCTGAGTTCCAGCAAGCTTCTAAGGACTCGAAGATGTGAGGGGCTCTTTCAGAGAAGTCGAAATATGAACAACAATATCTTCCGTTTCTTATCGAATTGAGAGTAATAAAGACTTTCGAGGGTGCATTTTTCTATCGATAAACTAGGTAAACAATATACACGCAGAAGACGCTGGCACATTGCTTTCTCTATATATTTCTAAATGTTGCACGACATCTTCATTACAGATATAACGATAGATGTTGGATATTTACAATCGTAAAGATTCGTCACTAAGGCGTTAGGCATGTATTTAGATCATAATGTGAGAAACTGGGACATTATAATTGTAAATTTAAAGGAATTAAAATGTGTGAACATATGCTATTTCACACTGTGCATTTCACCTTTCCTCGCGTTCGGACATATTGTGGAAAAGAACCTAAATTATATTTCCAGTTTAAAAAAACACCTCACCGACGTGATCCCAAAACGACTCTCTCTCTTTCTCTCTTTTACGTACTCGTATTTTTGTCGTCAGATTCCTGTCCAAACAGCGTCGTTATTTGACATCGGAATTTACATTAGAGTGGTTGAGCAGCGCTACGTGTACATGTGCTCCTACGTGTAGCTTACACGTACACGTACGCGTACACGCTACCAAACTTTAGTGACCGTGAGTAAGTCTTACGTGTACTGGTACATGTGCTGGTATATGTAAAACGTCTTTTGATTGGAAAACCTGACTTGAGTTTTGCGTTGTGCCATAATGAAATACGAAATTATTCATAAAGACACATGTCTGGTACATACTCTCATGATAAATAATTAATATCAACGATTCTAATGATGACCTGCCTTTAGCAAAAGGTTAAATCTCGAATCTCGAATACTGCAAAAAACCGCGTTATATTTCACAGAAACTGGTCACTAATTTATAACTGGATGATACTTTGATACTTATTTTAACACACTATCTTAACAATACAACAGTCTATTCAGCTGTTTTTTAAACAAGCTCACAAGTTTTCACTTACATGTATCCTTCGAAGTAGGCGACAGCGGGAACTTGTAGGATGACAGGTCAGCAAATAGTGATGACGTAATACACAGGTATTTAGGGGAATCCCCTGATCACACGTAGGCGTACATGTACACGCAGCGCTGCTCACCCTCTCTACTTTGTCCGACAGATCTATCAAATTACATGAACTCAATGACGATTAGTGCCGTAAGTACTTCAGATTTACTAGAGAAGATTTATTCACACTTAAAGAAACCCTACTGCTGCCTGACGAATTTCACTGCTCGAATCGTACAACTTGTTCAGGTATTGATGGTCTGTGCGTTCTCCTTAAAAGACCCTCCTATTCAAATCGGCTTGAAGACTTGAAGCACTTTTTTGGAAGATTGACTTCAGAATTGTCGCACAGTTTTAATACTGTTGTAAATTACACTTATGACATGAACAATCATTTACTAGACAATCTGGACAAACCTTGGCTATCACATGATCATCTGGAAGATATGTCTCGATCCATTCATTACCAAGGTTCTCCTTTTACTAACTGCTCTGGCTTATGGATGGTACTGTGCGACTGATATGCCGGCCTTTCAATGGACATAAACGTGTACATGGTTTAAAGGAACCAAAGTATAGTAACACCCAATGGAATGATAACCCATTTTTATGGGCCCATAGAAGGTAGACGCCATGATGCTGGTATGTTAAAGAGAGCGAGGTTGAAAAGGACATGTCTGAGAATATGACATGTCGAAACAATGATGTGTTTTGTGTATATGGTGACCCAGCGTATCGAATTTCACCTTACATAATTGCACCATACAGAGGAGGCATGATAACACCTAATCAAGAGCCATTCAACAAGAAGATGTCAGCCGTCAGAGTCTGTGTTGAGTGGACCTTTGGCAAATTGCTCAAAAATTGGAAATTTGCATTTCTAGATTTCAAGAAGAACCAAAAACTGTATTTGCAGCCAGTTGGTAAATACTACAAAGTTGCTGCTATCCTTACAAACTGCCACGCTTGCCTGTATGGAAGTGAACTAGCTCAGTCTTTCAACTCGAACCACCATCACTTCAAGAATACATACACAACTAAACTAGATTACAAATGTTTGAGACCTGTGCTTTCATGTAGAGTGAGTGAGTGAGTGTGTGAGTGAGTATCGTTTTACGCCACTTTTAGCAATATTCCAGCAATATCACGGCGGAAGACACCAGAAATGGGCTCCACACATTGTACCCATGTGGGAAATCGAAACCGGGCCTTCGCGTGACGAGCGAACGCGTTAACCACTAGGCTACCCTACCGCCCTGCTTTCATGTAGTATTCCAGGAGCGTAGCTAAGCTATTCTGTATGTCTGGACAAAATATAAGTATTAATCAAATGAGAATTTATTGAATTGTTTAATGACAAAGTGATTTAAATGTTACAACAATTATGTGTAGGCAGTTTCCTTTTTTTGCGAATACGGTAGCTATATCCTGCTTGACTGTGTTGAATTCTCCATCATAAGGGATAAATATTTCAATATAAAAACACTTAAGGATCTTTTAACCTCTGTTAGTTCTCATTTAATTATTGGTTTTTTAAAGAAATTGATTTCGTTGATGAATTCTGATTAATGTGTTTTGTAAATAGATATATTTTAAAGATTGGTAGTTTAGATTAGTAACTTAGATTGTTAGTGGCTGTACCCTCAAAGGAGGTTAAAGTACTGTCAAAGTATTGTCCTCCTGAGAGGGAACGTAAGTCCCACAACTTTCAAAGTAAAATATAAATTTACCAAATTTTAAACGTAGTATTTTTGTTGTTTTAACTGTCGGCTAAATTTTCCTACAATCGCCAGCAGCTGAAGGGATGGCGTAAATCCAGCTAGGTTCCATGCAGGTAGCAAAGGAACTGTAAGTCCCCATGGTCCTTAGTGTGGTGATCTACCTTTCAGTTGCTGGTGATCTATAGCCCGATTTTATATTGTGTTGTTTTGCAATGACTTACAATTTTACACTGAACTCAAACTAGTTTTAATCAATTTGTGATAGTCTAGTTGTTATACTGCCCTTTGCTGACAGGTTCTTAAATAAGTATAAATATTTAGATTTAGAGAACACAAATACATAAATAAGACCCCATATGTCAAGGAAACAAAAAAAACCATCGCTATACCATTGTTACTTTGCATAATGTTTCCTTCAGATGTTTCCGATTTTATATTTTATATACAGGAACGAATCACTAACCTTTACTCATACCCTCCCTAGCCGTCTTTCTGATTTCTTTCCCTTTATTCTCAATCTCAATTCTCTTAAGACTTTTCCTCCTCACGATTCCTTTCCTCTTCCTCCTTGAGTTCTGTTATTTTGTCCAAGAGAGCAATCTTGTCATCATATTCCTCAATATTGACAGAGCTGGAAAACAACATTATCAGAGGTGTGATGTTGTAATGATCTACTAAACTTTGAATATATAAAAGGATTACTCTAAGATTTCATATTTAATTTAACTTGAATTAATTAGTAATTCAATTTAAATGTAAAGTTTTAATCATGTCCAAGTGAAAACATGCTGCATCTCTTTTGAACAG